CGAAAAGGAATAACAAGCTATGAAAATCTTCGAACTATTGCTAACATAACACATGGAACATATCAGGCAGCATGTTATGCATTAGGTTTATTAGGAGATGATAGAGAATGGGAACAATCCATATTAGATGCATCTTTTTGGTCTACATCGTCACAACTACGACATCTATTTATTATTATATTATTATTTTACAATGTAAATAACCCACTGAAATTACTTGAAAAAAATTAGAAACTTATGACTGATGATATCTAATACAAAATTAAAAAAAAATTTAACAACCCATATTTTGAAATACCAGAAAATGAATTATATAATTTTATATTATATGAACTAGAAAAATTATTAAATCTAAACTCATCAACTTTAGCTCATTTTAATCTACTGCTTCCTACTGGTTCACTAATAAATGATTTAGACAATAAACTTTTAAGAGAATAACTTAATTATGATATAAATAAATTAAAAATAAAAAATTCTTTATTAGTAGAAAATTTAAAAAATGAACAACGAATTATTTACCATAAAACTTTGGAATCCGTTATTGATAAACAAAACAACTTATCTTTTATTTATGGCCATGGAGGAACTGAAAAAATATATTTGTGGAATACAATTATAACAAAAATTAGATCTAATAATGAAATAATTCTAGCTGTTGCATCTTCAGGAATAGCATCACTATTATTGCCCAAAGGAAGAACTGCACATTCTAGATTTCGAATACCACTATCAATAGATAAATTTTCAACATGTCATATAAAAAAGGGAACTCAATTAGCACATTTAATTGAAAAACAATCATTAATTTTATGGGATGAAGCACCTATGACTAATAAATATTGTTTTGAAGCATTAGATAAAACACTCTAGGATTTACGAAACAATTTTGACCAACCATTTAGTGGAATGACAGTTATTCTAGGAGGTGATTTTTGACAAATCCTACATGTTTTACCTACAGGAACAAAAGAACACATAATAAATGCATGCATAAATAATTCTTATTTATGGCCACACTTTCAGGTTTTAACATTAACAGAAAATATGCAATTAAAACTTTTTAATACAACATCAGAAGAAAAAAAAGAGATTGAAAATTTTTTAAAATGGACATTGGACATAGGAAATGGTACTGCTGAAGGAATAAAAGATTTAGAAAATGAAGATATTACATGGATAAAAATACCAGAAAAATACTTTGTTGATTTTGACCTAGATCCAATTGACAAAATGACAACATTAATATACGATAATTTCAACAATAATTTTAATAGCATTGAGTACCTAAAACAGTGCGCAATTGTAACACCGAAAAATAAAACTGCTGACGATATAAATAATTATATATTATCCTTAGTACCTAACGAGGTAAAAATTTATTATAGTTATGATACAATACTTCCTTCATCAGAAAACATAGAAGAACTAAATCTCTTATATCCTCAAGAATTTTACACAATTTAAATTTCAGCGGTTTACCACCACATGAACTAAATCTTAAACTCGGAACTCCAATAATGCTTCTAAGAAACCTAAATCAATCTGTTGGACTATGCAATGGAACAAGACTTATCATAACACAATTAACAAATAAAATAATAGAAGGACAGATCATTACTTCAAATAATATTTTTGAAAAAGTTTATATTCCAAGAATAGAAATGACTGTACATGAATCAAAATGGCCATTTACTTTAAAAAGACGACAATTCTCTATAAAAATATGTTACGCAATGACAATAAATAAAAGTCAGGGACAATCTTTGAATAAAGTTGGACTATTTTTAGAAAATCAAATATTTAGCCATGGTCAATTATATGTTGCTTTATCCAGAGTAACTAATCTAAAAGGATTACATATGTTACTTAATGATTCAAACAACAATTATGCTAATCATATAAAAAATATTGTCTACAAAGAAATCCTACATAACATCACATAAATAAATA